CGCACTCTAAAAATGTTTCGATGTACTCTAAACATGTTTCAATGTTCTCTAAGTATATTTCATCGCACTCTAAACATGTTTGGATGCACTCTAATTAAGTATGTTTCGACGGACTCTAAATATATTTGGATGCACTCTAAGTATGTTTCGATGCACTCTAACCGTGTTTTGACGAACTCTAAACATGTGTCGAGTGCGTCTAAACGCACTCTAAACGTGTTAGGACGCACTATAAATGTGTTTAAACGCACTCTACACATGTTCGAACGCACTCTAAACATGTTTAGACAAACTCTAAACATGTTTCGACGCACTCTATATACGTTTCAACGCACTTTAAAAATGTTTCGATGCTCTCTAAACATGTTTGGATGCACTCTAAGTATGTTTGGATGCACTCTAAACATCTTTCGACGCACTCTAAAAATGTTTTGATGTTCTATAAACATGTTTGGATGCACTCTAAGTATGTTTCGACGCACTCTAAACGTGTTTGGATGCACTCTAAATGTGTTTGGACACACACTAAACATGTTTCGGTGCACTGTAAACAAGTTTAGACGAACTCTAAACATGTTTCGACACACTCTAAATATGTTTCGACGCATTCTAAATATGTTTCGACGCACTCTAAACATGTTTGGATGCACTCTAAATATGTTTCGACGCACTCTAAACATGTTTCGTCGTATTCTAAACATGTTTCGACGCACTCTAAACATGTTTTGACGCACTCAAAAAAAGTTTCGATGCACTCTAAACATATTTTGTTGCACTCTAAACATGTTTCGACACACTGTAAACATATTAGGATGCACTCTAAACGTGTTTGGACGCACTCTAAACATGTTTAGACGAACTCTAAAAATGTTTCGACGCACTCTAAATATGTTTCGATGCTCTCTAAAGATGTTTCAAAGCACTCTAAACACGTTTGGATGCACTGTAAGTATGTTTCGACGCTCTAAACGTGTTTTGGTGCACTCTAAACATATTTACACGAACTCTAAACATGTTTCGATGCACTCTCAATATATTTTGTAGCACTCTAAAAATGTTTTAATACACTCTAAACATGTTTGGATGCACTCTAAGTATGTTTGGATGCAGTCTAAAAATGCTTCGACGCACTCTAAAAATGTTTCGATGCACTCTAAAAATGTTTGGAAGGACTCTAAATTTGCTTCGCAGCACTCTAAACATGTTTGGATGAACTCTAAACATGTTTCGAAGCACTCGAAACATGTTTCGACGCACTCTAAAAATATTTCGATGCGCTCTAAACATGTTTCGATGCTCTCTAAGTATATTTCGATGCACTCTAAACATGTTTGGATACACTCTAAACATATTTCGACGCACTCTAAAAATGTTTCGACGCACTCTAAAAATGTTTCGATGCACTCTAAACATGTTTCAATGCTCTCTAAGTATATTTCATCGCACTCTAAACATGTTTGGATGCACTCTAATTGTGAGTTTTAGAGTATGAAGTGAGGACAAAAATGAAGAGAGAATGAAGAGAATTTCGTGCTTAGCACAGAGGATTCTTCTTATTCATAATGTGAGAGGTTACACATATTTATAGGACAGCTTAGACACAAAGAATTAAATGCACTAGCTGTTACATGTGTGCATGACAAGCATTTAATGAGGTGATGTCTTCAATACTTGATTTGTATGATAAAGAGGTGCTGCATGATATCTTCACATTAATGCACCAAGATGGTTAGCTCCTGCATTTATTTCGTAGGTTCCTTGTTGTGCAGGTCATCTGATGATGATCCGCCATCTATGTTGTCTTCAACGTCTTTAACATTCCCCCTCAAGGTTGGAGTTGAATAATGGATAAGTCCAACCTTGACGAGAAGCTTGTCTAAGACGTGAGATCTTGCGGCTTTGGTGAAGATATCAACTAGTTGATCTGCACTCTTTGTGTATGTAAGTGTAATGACCTCGTTCATCACCTTCTCCCGTATAAAGTGACAGTCCACCTCTATATACTTGGTGCGCTCATGGAACACCGAATTTGTGGCAATGTGAATCGCAGCTTGATTGTCACAATGTAGAGTGATTGGTTTGTTGGAATGAAACCCAAGATCACTAAGAAGAGCTTTCAACCAAGTTAGCTCACTTGCAGTATTTGCCATGGCGCAGTATTCTGCTTCGGTGGTAGATCTTGCAACCACCGATTGTTTCTGGCTCTTCCAAGTGACGAGATTTCCTCCAACAAATGTGCAATATCCTGTTGTGGATTTCCGATCGTTTCTGTCTCCAGCCCAGTCCGCATCGCAGTATCCAACTATCTCGGCATGCCCGTTGCGTTCCATCCAAACTCCTTTGCTCGGTGTTCCCTTTAAGTACTTGAGAATTCGATCCACCATACTCCAATCATGTTGTGTTGGCTTATGCATCCATTGACTAACCTGCTGCACAGCAAAACTAATATCAGGTCGGGTAATACAAAGATAAATCAACTTACCTACAGTTCGTCGATAGAGTTCAGCATCCTCAAATGGTGATTTATCTCCAACTTCTTTGAAATTCTCCTCAAGCGGTGTTTTCGCAGGTTTTGCACCGATCTTTCCTGTTGCTGCAAGTAACTCAAGAGTGTATTTCCTTTGTGATAGAAACAATCCTGATTGAGTAGAAAGACTTCTATACCAAGAAAATACTTTAATTCCCCCAAATCCTTAATGTCGAATGACGAATGCAACATTTGTTTGGTTCGACTTATGCCATCATGATCACTATCGGTCACAATTATGTCGTCAACATATATTAAAAGAACGACAATACCTGATTCCCCCTGAAGACTGAAGAGAGAGTGATCGGATTCACTCTTCACAAACCCATGATTAGTGAGTTCAGTGTGAAGTTTTTGATACCAAGCACGTGGAGATTGTTTGAGACCATAAATCGCTTTCTTCAGTTTACAAACCTTGTCTATTCCAATGATATCTTGATAACCAGGAGGTGCAACCATATACACTTCCTCAGTTAGTTCCCCCTGAAGAAAAGCGTTTTTGACATCCATTTGCCACAACTCCCAATCAAAGTTAGTAGCAAGGGATAAAATGACACGAACAGAAGATAATTTAGCAACAGGAGCAAATGTGTCGGTATAGTCTTCCCCATAGGTTTGAGTAAAACCTTTAGCAACTAACCATGCTTTATATCGCTCAACCTCCCCATTACTCAAGTGTTTCACCTTGTATACCCATTTGCAACCAACTGGACGTTTGCCGTCGGGTAGAGTGGCCACTTCCCAAGTGCCATTGCGTTCCAGAGCTTGAATTTCCTCATCCATTGCTGTGCGCCACACATGGATATGTTTGGCTTCTTCATAAGACGAAGGCTCATCTTCACTTTCAACTAGACTTAGGAATGTCTGATGACAAGTTGGAAAAGAAGAACAGTCATCATAGAATTGAATGGGGTGTGCAACAGCATACCCATTGTAGTAGACTCGACGGTTACTCCATTCGGAGATCTTCATAAGAAGAAGGCTCATCTTCTCTTTCAACTAGACTTAGGAACGCCTGATGACAAGTTGGAAAAGAAGAACAGTCATCATAGAATTGAATGGGGTGTGCAACAGCATACCCATTGTAGTAGACTCGACGGTTACTCCATTCGGAGATTGGTGCGCGTGGCCTAGTGCTTCTGCGAAGTGCAGGAGGATTGGGAGGATCAATTGAGTGAGATTGCTCCATTGAGGAGGACACCTCTGATTCAGGTGAGCTTGTCTCCATATCATCTTGCAATGTTGAGTCGTGGTTGTCATTGTCATTATCATCCTGAAACGATGTAACGTTATCAGTTGAAACAAAGTCTTGTGATACAGACGGTACCTCACAATCCACTTGGGAATCCTCTTTGGCGGCATCCTCACTAGACTGAGATTAAGATGGGGTGCAGGTGCTTGATGATTGATGGTGTTGTTGGAGTTCATTAGTAGGATGTAACATGTGATCTAAAACTTGTCGGAATGACCTAAACTTGTCTTCTTGAGATGTAGGAAGGTCTTCAATCGTATTCCATGATTGAGTATCATAGTAGCTTAGATTTTCATAAAATATCACCTCCCTTGACACTCAAACACGATTGGCAATTGGATCAAAGCACTTATAGCCCTTTTGTGTGGTAGAGTACTCAACAAGAATACATTTTTGACTCCGTACATCCAGTTTACCATGTTGATTTTCTGCAAGAAACACGTAACAAACACATCCAAAAACTTTAATGTGTTCAAGTAATGGCTTACACTTGTTAAGTACCTCAAAAGGAGACGAGTCTGCGAGACACTTTGTGGGCAGCCTGTTAATAAGATAACAAGCAGTTTGTACATCATCTCCCCAATTTTTTCTTGGCACATTTCGATGAAACATCATAGCCCTTGCCACCTCAAGGAGATGACGATTTTTGCGTTCTACAACTCCGTTTTGCTGTGGTGTATTTGGGCAGGTTGTTTGATGAGTGATGCCTTGTTCTGCAAGATAATCCTGAAATTCTCGACTTGTATACTCACCTCCATTATCAGTTCTAAAAAACTTGATTTTGGCATCATAATGGTTAGAAACATACTTATGAAACTTCTTGAATGTTTCAAAGACGTGACTTTTAGATGGCATAAGAGTGATCCATGTATACTTAGATCTTTCATCTATAAAAGTAACAAAGTACTTATGCCCATCACGTGAAACAGTTGGGGATGACCATACATCAGAATGAATGAGATCAAAACAATTCTCATATGTAGTGGTTGATTTAGGAAAGACTGTTCGACAATGTTTTCCAAGGATACATGCTTCACATTGAGAATGATCAAACTGGATATGAGGTAACAAAAGGGAGAGAGCTTTTTTATGAGGATGGCCTAGCCTAGCATGCCATATGGAACTAAAACAAACATTTGAAATAGAGTGAGGCTGGATGAAATATAGATTGCTCCGAGCGATACCTCTCCCAATTTCATGAGATGTCTTAGTATCCTGAAAAACAACCTCATTAGTGCGAAATATGACAGAAAATTGGAGATCACTACATATTCGCGCAGTGGAAAGAAGATTAGTAGTGAAATCTGGAACATATAGAGCACTAATTTCTCGGTTAAATAGCATCATAGTTCATTGTCCTTTAATCTGAACTTTCACACCATTTGCTACAGTGATATCTCCATCTAGATGTGTCATATTGTGAAGCAATCTTTTGTCACATATCATGTTGTTTGTTGCTCCTGAGTCAATAATCAGATTCTTAGTACCATGGTGTCCAAAAAAGGCCATACCTGAGTCTTTTTGCTCCTTGAGCAGTTGTAGGAGTTTATTGAAGTCTGCCTTAGTGACAAATTCAGATGTTGAAGCCACCATAGCTGATTCTTTTGTAGGATTACCATGAGGAGTGTTTTCCTTGAACTTTGATGGTTTGAGATGGGGATGAATGATCCAGCACTTGTCCTTTGTATGCCCAGCCTTGTTGCAGTGCTCACAAACAATATGTTTATTGAGTTTGTTGGAAACATTAACCTTTCGGTAGTGAGCAATTTCACATGTCCCTTTGAACAGCTTCTTTGCGCCTTCTTCTTTCTTAATCATCGCACAAACTTCAGAGAATGATGGAAGCTTGTCTTGGCGTATGATATGCTGAACAAGATCACCATATGAGTGGTGAAGAGAGGAGAGCAGAGCAAAAATATTGTCTTGCTCTAGACGTTCAGCAACAATCTTGGAATCGGTGGATGGAGGACGTAACTCATTAAGTTCAGCACGAATCGTGTTGAATTCTCCCAAATGCTTGACGAACAATTTGTCCTCTTGATGAACATTATGTAGAGATTTCTTCAACTCATAGATTCGTGTCAGATTGGAGACATTACCGTAGGCTCCTTCAAGTGTTTCCCACAGCTCTTTGGCAGTGTTGATGTGCACATAGCTTGAGAGAACATCATGATCCATGGAGCAATGAAGGATGGCAAGTATCATCTGGTCTTCTTGAAACCATTTTCCAGATTGCTCGACAACTTGGGAAGCTA